CTTACTCTCAGTTTCGAAGTAAGGCGCTTATTCCCATTTTTAGAGCAAAAGGCTTACTCTCAGTTTCGTAGTTAGGAATTTAATTTGCTTTGTGCTGAAGTATATAGAGTTAGATAGAAGGAAAATCAGTCTTGCTGCTTAGCATATTTATCTTTGTTTTTTTATTTTTACTCCAATTTTTAAAAGCATAAAACTTTACTCCGAAATTGACTTTGCCCCCCTCCCCCTGCCTTCGAGGTATCGGGGCGCCCCTGTGAAAATCTGGTTTGAAACCGTTCTAGCAAAAGAGATCCCTTCAAAAAAATTCCAGTGCGACACTGGTGTGCATGGCATGCCATCGGTCCCTTGCACTACCTGCCACTCGTGCCCAGCAAGTGCCGATATGTTTATGACAAAAAGGTGGCGCACTGGTAAAAATCAGTGCGGCATTGAAACTTATTTAATCAGTTCTTTATTATAGCTGCGTGTTTTTAATTTTGCATTAATTAAAGTACAGCACTGCCCATGTAGTGAAAACCGGTAATAAATCGACGATTTTACCGATTACTAGTAATTAAAAAAAGCATTCTTTTCCGTACTTGCACGAATCGATGAGTTCGTGATTTACCACGAAATTTTCGCAACGTATATATGTGAGCTTAAAATAATTCTTTTTTGACCTATTATATTAGGATACTGGAAAAGAAGATCAGATTTTCCAGCAAAAGATGAGTTAGAAATAAGAATCATATATATTTAAAAATTGTAGATGAATAGATGAAAAAAATAACACTAATCAATGCCTAAAACGTGTTCGAAAGAGAAGTAGCAAAAGTGCGCCTCAACCAGGGTTGCCAAATCTCCTGATGAAAATTCTCCTGATTCTAGGAGCTGGTTTTTAAGATTTTCTCCTGATTTTCAGTTGTTTTCCTGCATCGATTTTAGCACTTCGATATTCGCTTTGTTTTGGTTCTTGTCGGTTTCTTAAAAAACATTTGTCTGTTTTGTTTATACTGTTAAATGAACAACCAGCTGGGAAAATACTAATAGAATAAACTGCATGTAATTATCTTCCTCTCTTGCTCTTTGTTTCTCTTGTAAAACAGACCGTCTCATTACGTGCTGGTAGACAAAAGTCACAAGCGTTTGTGGGAATGAAATTTTGCTTGTCTAAGAAAAAACTGCACGATACTCTCCTGTTGTTCTCCTGATTTCGAAAGAAAATCTTCGCATTTTCCTCCTGATTTTTTAGAAAAAATCTTCGGATCAACTGCTGATTTCGAAAAATTAGATTTGGGCACCCTGGTCCCAACGAGTACGAAGATACGACAAAATCTGCCTGCACAAATTCCTCTTATTAAGGCTCTTAAAAAAGGCGTTTTCCTGTTAAAACTAAAGAGACGAAACAACCTCGATCAACGAAAATTATAAACGGTTAAAGAAAGAAACAACAAAGCATCATTCAACGTCTAAGACACAAAACTAAATTCATTATACAGAAAAAGAGTATTTTGATAAATACAGAAAATAAAATCAAAAACTTCACTATCAAGACGGTAATTTAAAACACCGGGTAAATGAGAACAATATGTGTACTTTTGCTTCATAATTCCAGTTAGCTACGTTTTTTAGGGTGAAAGTAGTTTCCTAAGACAAGGATTTTTCTTATTCCAGAAAGTGATCGATGACCTGAAGAAATTGAATAATTTTACTATGAATATGTCGTACTTGTAATTTTTCATTTGGCAACGCCTGCATCACTTAGATGATGAGCTGACCTTATATATTGTAAATTTGAAAAAAGAATAAATGCATTAACTTTTTTTTGAATTCACAATTTTCAGTCTGTCACAATAAGGAGTAAAGCTGACACGAAGTCAAGTGAGTAGCATGAAAGCTGTGAATTATGATACAAGAAGAAAGAAGAACAAAGTGATCGTTAACTGACTTTTTGCGGGAAAAAAGTCTAAATTCGTGACTAAGAAAAGATGAAAATTGCTTTGCTTCATGACTTAAATCTTTGAAAAGACTTTACACATGATTTTTGTTTTATCTATTAAACCTATTCTAATACTTTTTAGTTTTATACGTATGCTCTACCAAAATTTACTTAATTACGTTGTCTTTTTAACATAAGCTATGATGAACGATGATGAACGATCAGTCGGTTCCATTATTTCTCCTCATTACTTTGGTCAAACGTCTGACGATGACGCAGAAGAATCTAAATTTGTTTCTAGATTAAGATCGCTAACTGCTGTGAACGTCAACACATCTCCTGCTCAACAAAGTCGTGATCGTTCATATTTAACATTAACAACTGTGATGATCAGTGTTTTGTTACTGATTGGAATTTCAATTGGAATTTCAATTCTTATTCAAATATTACAGAGAAAAGCAAAATATTTGATAAGTTCACAAGATACGATAGACCCTTCAACAAATGTAACAAAACCTAATTCTTACTCTGTCTAAATGAATAATGGCTTTTCAGGTTAAATTTATCGTTTATAATTGCAACAACCATGATCACCTTTACATGATCAGAACGTACCGTATCGCGGGACGAACTACGGATAAACTTTGAGCTATACAGAATGTGCAGAAAATGGTAGAAACTCATTATAACTGCTGACTTACTTTTCAGAAAACTTGCTAGTGCAGAAAATCAAATTTTTCTCAGATTCAGTTGTCTGGAAAGATTTTCCGTTTTTGTCCATAATATCTCTATGTCACGAGAATTATTCTTCACTATTGTGCTCACTTTTATCATTCGCTTAATGTAGAAAAACACCTGAAACTTGTTCATGCCTGTTTATTTTCAATCTCTTCTGCAGCCTGAGTTTTCCCAATTTCCAAGAGGAATGAAAAATACCTCTCAAAAAAAAGTTGATCAAGTGTGTGCATTATTGTCTCGTATGCCTCTGTTTGAACTTCAGGTAAGTTCGATTTTCTTAATTTATCCGGCAACATGCGTACCGAGGATCTATTGGTTCAGCGGTTGATCTTCTATTTATCAATCTTGATCGATATAGTTATATTTTTGTCAACGCAGTAGTAATACAGCTATTTACAAGCATATTACAAGCGGAAAAAACAACTTTGTTTGAACACACGTATAATCGGTTAACAGTTGAATGACTCTAACTCATAACAAAAATATTTCTTGAGTAAGGTAAATTGTAAGAAACTCCGGACAGCGATACGGATATGAAAATATAAAAATACGAGTACGGATCTAAAAAGAACTAAGGGTAAAAACCCCTCTTCTTTGAAAAAAATTCGGATTTTGAGCTGACCATAGTCTAATCTAGAGAAAACTGTGAGCTACAAAATGAGGCCACTCCCAGTACTCGACGACCCTTCTTCAAAAAGTTATGCATTTTTGAAGTTTTTTCTTTAAAGTCTAAAAAGCTCAATTTTTCAGTTTTATAAACTTTTCTCTCCTTTTCTGTACATTCAACATTTTTCTTACACATAGTCTGATAGAAGAAAGTGTTTTCTTCACGATGACACATCTCACAGAATTTTCCGATGAGTTTTCGTGGAGATAGAAACATCGTGGCAAAATTTCCAAAAATATACCTCTGCGATATGACCTTGAGTACCTCTGGTAAAATTTTTAACTCGATCGGATGAATCCTAAGGGAGATCGTAATGTGGTCCAATGAAAAACCGAGTTTTCTGGAAAATTGGTGAACGGCAATAATTAAAAACTTGAAACAAAGACAAAAAAGTGTTCCATTCAGTTTCCAATCAGTTCTGAAAATATGAAGTCTTAGTGAGTTTTAGTTTTTATTTCACAGAATTTCTACGGAAAGCCCAAAAAGAGGGGAGGAGTATGAAATTTTCTTAAACCGTCACATTTTTCTTATTAAAGTTTTTTGCTATTATAAAACATATTTAGTATCCAATATGAATAGTTGATTCTCTATTCACGCTCATGAATTAGATCTATACTGTTATTTAGGAATGATAGAAAGCGATGATTCAGCTTACACAAGTAGACTATAAACAATTTTCTTCGTAGCTCGAAGAAGGACGGTCTAGTCATTTTTTAGACAAATATAAATGCTTTTTGATAGGAAAGTCAACTGTTAGTCAGTGGTTCTCTTGTTCAAGAGAAAAAAGGACAGAAATTGGCAAATTTATGTTAAGAATAATGAATAAACAAGATTTATTGATCGATTTGTATTTTGACTCAAATGTTATAAGTCAGGTTAACAGAGAACAAGCAAAAACTATTTGCTTACATTAGGAAACTTTCACCAACAAAAAGTAGTAAATAAATAGAAGCGCAGAGAGAGAGAAAAGAGAAGATCAGAAGAGAAAAAGATACAGTCGAAGAACAAATGAAAATTAAGTAAATATGCAACTTAAATGAATTAAGCAAAAGTGCATATTTACACATACAGAAAAAAAATGAACAAGAAAAAGAGCAGCAGATTTTTAAGAATAAAAAAATAATTTTACAGTTCAAATTCAGTACTAAAACTGTTCAAAACTCCACAATATTCTGAATAGACAGATGTCAATAGGCAAGTTTTCGCAAGAGGAGATAGTTTTTGTGCAGTTTAAGATACATATAATCGTTCTTATAGTTTAGACACTCAGTTCGGGATTTCAGTTGAGGAAAAACTAATAGTTATCCGCACTATCTGTTCACGATGGTTTGAATTATGAGATGGAAGTAGCCTTGCTTTCAAAAACAAGAATATTTACTGTATTAAATAAAAAAATGACAATCAAACAAGGAACAAATACATTCTCTAAAGAGAAATATAAGAAATCGATGTATGCGAACTAGTAGCAGTTAAAATTTAAAATTAACTGAGATGGAGACAATTGATTAATGTTTCTATTCACTGATCTAAGATAACGCGTTCGAATGTATTCAAATTCTGCCTGTAAAGGACGTGACGAAATGAACTAGGCACGTGCTATATCGCAAGGAACAAAAATGTTATCACTGTGTAATAGCTATATCGCAAAAAAGTAACGGCACATTGGATAACATGAAATTATGTCGTCATTATGTTTTCTATTTCTGTCTGTTGTTTATTTTGTCTTTCATAATCTACAAATTCATCGAATAAACACGGCCATGCTTCTGAATCATCGTAATTATCTAAATTATTTTCGATATATTTGGAAAATTGAGGCCATACATTCCATGTGTCAAATGTAATAACTTTAATATGAGTTTGTACATGTTCCAAATAATTTAACCATGAATCCAATATGCTGGGTGGTTGTTTTCGCTGTGAATAGATTAAGCGCCATAAGCAGCAGGCAATATCAACGCCTAAATTTCGTTGACCATTCGAACGGTCTAAACCAAAGTAGTATGTCCAAGAATAAAAATCTTTGTAAAATAAATAATCATTTGTCAATAGCTCTTGTTCAATATAAGTACATAATTTTACTCTTAAATCATTAATATTATCACATTTCATTGTTTTGAATCCTCCAGTAAATTCTGCATGAGTAAAATGATACATTTGTTGGGCACGAAATATCCATGCTAATACAAGAATTTCAAATGATTCGGGATTTAACTGCAAATCATAACAAAATTTAATTATACCATCAATATCAATAGTTTTATCCGTTCCCCGTTCATTACAGTAAGTTTGAAATAGAATCTCAATTCGTTGGTCTGATAATTCAACGGTTGTTGTGTGTTCTAGGGAAGAGTATTTATCCGATGATTGAGATATATGGCAAGTAATTTTAGCAAGTAATTCGGGAATTTTATGAATAGGCATATCTCGACGGGGCTCCAGTTGTGTTTTAGGTTGGTGATGATGTACACGGGATATAGTACTATTAGTCGATCTTTGTTGTAACGAATTTCGCTGATTAAAAGATGAATTATGATTTAAATGTGACAATAATGTTTTCGTTGCACTATTAAACTCGTATAAGTCGTTTTTTGCCTTCTTTTTCACATGTGTTGTCGAAAATGAATTTGTTGGCGTTGATTTTGACATTTGACCCGAACTTTTATCAAGATACTGGCCCATTGGCTGACAAACAAAAACTATAAAAAAAGAAGCGTAAAACTCTCACCTGAGATTTATGCCACTCGCATCATTCATATTATAAGAGGTAAACTTGCATTAACGTACTTGCAAACAGGTAACATCGAGCAAATTTGTCTAACTGTTTTTCTTCTTTAAAGTAACTTGCTCACGAAGCTTCTTTAGATGAATCTCAGTAGCCGGTTTTGCATGTAATTTTTAAGCGACATTCATCTCGGCGTTCTCGGTTGAAAAATGTAAGTAGACAGACAGCATCAGTAATATAGCAATGAATTTCTTTTCTGTGTTAATCTTCGCAGTTGGTGGATTGTACAAACTAACGAAAACAAAGCAGCACCCCCTTCTGTCGGTTACCATTGCACATAGTTTCGATTAATTTTTGAACAAATTATTACGTTTTTCTACGATAATGACGATTAGTAATGACAGTGGTGAAAGTTGTATTTCTCTCTAGATGTCACCACACATGGACTGCTCTGCGAAATGTCAGAGAGGGCTATTGTCTTTTTAGTGTATAATCAAAGAAAAAAACTAAAAAAAATAAGAAGGATATGAGATCGAAACTAAAATGATGTACGTCACGGAACTGGAAGTTCAAGTGTTACTTTAGTGCTTTGATTGTGGAGCTATTTGCGTTGGGAACAGAAAAAAATTATTTTGATTCATTTGAATCTGTGTTATTGGATTTGCCAAAAAACAAAATATTGAAACACGTGTTTCAATATTTTGTTTCCAAAAATTAGTCTACTTATACAGCAAGTGCAAAGAAGTAAGAAAATTGTAAATACATATTTGCAGAAGTACTAAGAGGATCATTGCTATGATTATTCGTCTTCAATTACTGTTTTGACCTACTCGCGGAATAGATTTAGGCTTTCTTCCCGGTATACCAAGGATTTTACCGATTACTGTCGGTCGAAAATATACCGTCGGTATTAAGGTACTACCGCGGTTTACCGACGGTCAATGATAAATCACGACATGGGGCCCTCATGAAACACAAATATTCGGCGTAGTTTTTTGCACGTTTAGTATTAAACATTGGGTCTAAGAAAATTAGTTTGATTTCTTGCTAAAAAAAAGATTCTGGACTGGGTAAGTTCATACCGTTTTGTATTAAGTCTGCTCGGGATATTTCAACCCATCCATGGTTCTAGCACATCCATTTATAGGATTCACACTAAACGAAGCAGCAGATAATAAAACAAGAAAATAACTTTGAATTTGGTGTCATCTTGAAAATTTGCCAACTTTAAACTCTTGTAATTCAGTAACAACAGGTTAGTTAACCTTGCAGATTTCCCCATAAATAGTAGATAGTGTGAGCTACAAAACCACGCAACCGCGAGCTCAAAGCATGCTTTCGTGATTTTGTAATAGATGGCGCACTAAGAGCCCGATTCAGAAAACCCTGAATTTTCCTGTAGCATCCATTTGAAACAAAGTCGACCGTAAGACTTTCAACCATATTTCCAAATAGATTATATGCCAAAGTATATTTAGTAAACGTTTGACGGTCTCCGGTGCTTTCGTTTTCAAGAGTAGTCTCAAAAGAGAAAGACTAACATAAAGTAAAATAAAATAAACGCTCCCATCAGATATAGCATGGTGGACTATGTACTTCTCTTCTCCTTCAAGGTTGCTCGAAGCCACTGAGCGCCAATCCTGGTGCTCCATCAAAATCAAATACCTCGTCCAAATGACTCAAAATCAAAGTCTCGCTTGACTCCTATTTTGAAGAGGACACTTTAGGCTATTTACTCATAAGAAAAACAATCTATTGCTACTTTATCGTTTAGAGTTACAAAACGGTTAACTAGAGATCTCCTAGAAAACCGATGATGGAGAAATACTTTCAACTTTGTTTTAGTTACAAAAAGATAGTTTAAAGTCTTGGCTATCGAATCGCAAAAACGAGACGTTTCTGTCGCTTTTCGTTCTTGAGTTATTCAAAAGCCACTGGCCGGCATATGAAAATACATCAGAAGGGAACCTATTACAAGTACTCTCGGTGGAACTCGCACATAGGACTGTGTTAATACCAAATTAACTTGTTGTTGTATTATCCTTGAATTTCTTCTGAAAAGTTGCATATCAAACTGGCATTTATTAAAATTTTAATATACTATAGCTGATTGAAGCAAGCCTCTAGAACTCGGTGCCGCCGAAGCCATTTTAGTGAAAGCCACAAAACGCAGGATGGACTATGGTAGTACACCTGGTGCAGTTCAACAGTATACTAGGGGGCTTTTTCTAAAAATCGCCCAAAATGGTCATTTTTGGGCAAAATTGCATCTTTCAAGGCGTCTGTACTGGAAACGAAAGCACCGGAGACCGTCAAACGTTTACTAAATATACTTTGGCATATAATCTATTTGGAAATATGGTTGAAAGTCTTACGGTCGAC